GAGGGAGGAGAGAGGAGAGAGGAGCGGGAGTGAGAGGGCGAGGGAGGGGGGAGGGAGGAAGAGGAGAAGAGGGATGGGGGAGGAGGAGGAGGAGGAGGAGGACGAGGAGGAGGAGGAGGAGGAATGAGGCCCGTCTCCGAGCCCCCCGGAGATCGCGCGCATCGTTTCGGTGTTCTGGTGTCGCGCTTGCACTATGTGCATTCGTGGTAAAGCACAATGAACATTCGAAAATACGCGCGCGCCCGAGCCCCTCCAGGAACCCCGCGCATGTTTGCTGTCGTTGGTCTTTGCGTTTGTTTTTTGGTTGTAGTTGCAGCTGCGCGACCCCAGTGTTCCCCGGGGTGCGCGCTTGGCACCCCGGAGACTGCAGGAGCTCCAGAGGTCAAGGGCCCAGGGTTCAGGGGTGGCCAGTGAGAGGGTGTCAGCGACGATCGAAGGGCGCCGAGGCACAGGGTCTTGTGACCCTGAGGCGGCCGCCTGGATCGCGAGCTCTTGTGGGGGCCCTTCTCGTTCCTGATCTGCCTCCTCCTCCTCCTCTGCCCTCTTCCCCTCCTCTCCTCATTTCAGTCGCACAACGGACGAACGCTGTTTTCCCCTCTCCCCCGAACCTGCGCCGCCACCCTCCCCAGCGGCAGTGCGCTCTACCAGCTGACTTGGGGGAGTCACGGGGCTGGCGCATTGTGCTGCCGCTTGCGTGCTTCCCCCAGGGGTCTTGGCCAATGTCAAGATTCGCCTGCCTAGAAGTTGAATGAATCTCGTGCTCGGGTCCCACGGGAGGCCCTGTTGGGCCGTTCTTGGGGCCGTCTAGGGTGTTTGTTGGGCCATCGTTGAGAGTCCCCTTGGGCCGTCTTGAGCTGATGGCAGCTCGAGCAGACGAGAATCCAAAAATCATGCAGAAACATACTTCTAATCAGTGGTCTGAGCTTATTCGGACCCTGTTAGAGATTCGGGACCTCGAGGGGTATCCTGGGGCGTCTTGCAGGAACGTTCGGCCGCCTCGGGGCCATCTTTGGCTGTCTCCGAGGCGTAGTGGGCAATATTGTTGTTTTTGGTTGCTTGCGCGGACCGCCTTGGGAGCGCGGGGCGCATTTTCATCGTGTTTTTTGAAAGGGCAATAGGACCGCGGTGTGGGAGGACTTGGAGCGCTTGGGGGTAGCGCCTGGAAATGCGGGAAGAGCGATCTCAAGTAGGCGCGTTTGGGATGAGGGGTCTAGGGGGTAAGAGCCATGCGGGAAGCGCGCAATCCTCGAGAGGGCGCGCATGGAATGAGGGTCCAGGCATCCGTTGTCGCGCTGGACGTGTACCATCTTCGAGTGGGCACGCATGGAAAAGGGGACCGGGCATTCGCTGCCACGCGGGAATTGTACCATCCTCGAGCGGGCACGCGTATGAGTCTATGAGGGTGGTTCAGGAATTATCTGCCATGCGGGACGTGCACCTTCCTGGGGCGGGCACGATGGAAGTGACCTCGGCGAGCAGGGGGGATGCACGCAGCAGCCTGCTACCGCGGAGGGGGAGCCACACTAGATTACAAGCGCCCTACCAGACAGACGTTGACACATTCTTCCACGCCTCAAATTTGAACAAGGCACGGTGGGGGACAGCGTGCATTCAGCACCCATAGAGTTGATGCGCGTACACAGCACATAAGCCACCATGCAACAAGCACGCGGATCACGCGCGACTGCCATGCGTCAGCAAATCCGAAGCAGGTCACATTGTTGACACACACGCGACATATTCAAAACCATGTGCAGCAGCTCCCTGATTGGGATCACAGGAAACAAATAATGGTAGCTATTCTGGTTTCGTCGGGCACCCTTGCGAGCCCCGCCCTCCGTACCCTGCCCCCCCCGCCCCCCGCGGCACCCGTGCATTTCTGGCGTATGTCACATGTGCGAGGTCAACTGACTGATTGAATTGTTGAATAATTGGTCGCGCCCGTTAACATGCAGCTTCACATACGGACGCCGAACACAATTCATGGCGCAATCAACATCAGGCTGGCAGATGACTGACTGCTGAGTGCGCAACCCATGGCGCAACCAATAGTTGCCGCGATGGTCGGCGGCTGGGGGCGCAACCCATGGCATAACACATAGTTAGAAGTTTGTTTTGCATGCAGGCGCAGTCCATGATGCATCCCACTGGTTGCGAAACCCATGGCGCATCTTACGACAAGGCACGGTGCAATGCAACCCGTGGATGGCGCAGCTTGTGTCGCAACCCACGGATCGTGCAAGCAGTGGCGCCACAAATCACAGGTGGGCTCACGTGCGGCAGGACGGCTCAACCTATGGCGCAACCAATTGCACATTGTTTTACGTCCGGCAACCGAGTGCGCAACCTATGCGGCAAGATATGGCGCACTCTGTGGATGGCGCAACCCATGGATGTCGCAACCCATGGCGGAATCCATTGGCATTGGTGACGTAACCAGAGGCACCTACCATGGATGGCGCAACCCATGGATGGCGCAAATATGGCACAACATGTTGCTCAACGCATGCGTGGCGCATGAGTTTTTTTTGTCAACTGCATGTTCTACAGGGCTGTGCCTAAATAGCGTTACGCTGTTTGGACCGGTGGTGGTACCCAATTGGCGAGCTATCTTGTGATTTCGTCTGTCGAGTGCGCATCATACTGCCCAACGAATAGCAGGCAGATTTGTGATCATTCGCCGAGTGCGCAACCTACGACGCAATCAAGGCGCAATTTGTAGCGCAACCCATGAGTGGCGCAACCCATGTGCGGCGCTACCACTGCCGCCATCCATGGATGTCGCAACCTATGATGCAACCCATGGCTGGCACAACCTACGGCGTAGTCCATGGATGGCGCCACCCATGGACGTGCAACCTCTGGCGCAACCCATGGATGGCGCAACGTACAGATGGCGCGACCCATGGGCTCAAGCACAAGCAACATGTTGCCTGTTTGTCATGCTATGGGAAGATATGAGTATGAAAATCAATGAAGCAATGAACATGTGCGAACTCCTGGGTCTTGCGCTTATTTGTTTGTGCCTCCCTGGGCCCCTGTGGGATCGCGCAACCAATGCCACAGCCTCATCTGTGGCGCACCCCGCGGCATGCTCTGCGGGGCTGAGCGAGAATTATACAGCCGCTTGGGCCGCTGGTGGCGAGCTGTGTTGCGAGTTTGTGCTGGGACGCCCTCGCCCCACTTCAAATAAGTGGGGAAGAAGATGCGGAGGAGGGGGAGGGATGCTGGGGAGGGAAGAGGCGGAGAATCGAAGAATAATCAACTGCATAAACGTAAACGCTCGGAGTTCCGCGCGGATCCCTTGGACCCGCGCCGGATCCCCATGGCGTCGCCTCCAGCGCCGCCCCTTGCGCGCTCCGCGCGCCAGGGAGTGGAATCCATTTGTTCGTTATTCTCAGATGAGGAGGCAGTGGATGAGGCAGAATCGTATACGAGCGTCCTCGCGCCAAGCTTCGCCGCCCCCGGCGGTGCCCTGTCGAGTACCCCAGCGGGCGCCCCTGAGGAGATAGCAAGGCGAGGCAGGTCGCGGGGAGAGGAGAGAGAGCGTAGGAGGATCTCCCGCGGTGTCCTTGTTCTCTTCTTTGTTCTACTCCCCCTCGCCCTCTACCTCCTCCTCCTCCGCTTCCTCCCTCCGCCTCTCCTCGCTCTTCCTCTCCTCCTATTGTGTAGCGATTGGAGCTCTCTTTTCCCTTTCCCTCCTCCCTCCTTGGTCCACCCGCTCCTCGCCCTCTCGGCGCCCACTTCTTCTGGGGCCGAGGCGGGGAGGCGGGGCATGACGCCCAGACATCCGACGATGCGCTCATATATACGAATGCATATGCATATACACATATGTGTGTATATATAAATATGTATGCACACATATATATATATATATATATATGTATGTATAAATAAGCATGGATATTATATGTCTATGTGTACGTATGAATAATGTATGTGTAGATGTATGTGTATGTGCATGGATGCGTATATGCATGAATGTATGCATGCTGACATGCTTGCTTGCATGTGTGTATGTGTGTCTGTATGTATGTCTGCCTCTGTGTATGTATGTATGTATGTACGTACGTGTGTATGTCTGTATGTACGTACGCACGTCTGTTCGTACGTGCGCTAGCTCGCGTGCATGCATGCATGGGTGTATATAAATCAGATTTGCATGTGTGTAGGTGTGTGTGTGGATGTACGTACGTAGGTATACCTTGATCATTTCATGCGTATGTGTGAGACTGTATGTATGTATGTAAGTATGAATGTATGTAGTGTATGTGTGTACATGCGTAAGTACGTATGTGTATGGTTATGTATGAATTATGTTTATGGCATGCACCTGTGAGTTGACACATACAAGTGTATGCACATAACACTGTACATGTACACAGTCATGTCCATCTACAGTTATGCATACAGACGTGCATGTACACACATATTCTTGTATACATACACAACTACCTCTACACACATACACCTGCACATGCATGTATACATACACATACAACATCAATTACAACTGCAACTCGATATACATACACGTGCACATGCTTATATTCGCATGTATGTATCGATGCATAATATTCGCATACGCATGCACACAGCTACATATATGTGGACATGTGTAGATATGCTCAGCTCGCCCACCGCATACAAATCACACATCTTATCATGATAGTCGGGTATCCCCGAATCGGGGTCGTGGAGGAGAGGTTCTCCCAAGGTTGGGTCAGGGAACATACCCAGCTCAATACTCACATGTCCTTCTTAATCGGGCCGTAACCCACCTCTTTCCCTGCCCCACCTGTGTGCCCCCCCGACCTAAACAATGTTGGATGGCCCTGGGACAACAACATCAGCTCCCAGAGGCCGAAATGGAGGGCAGAGCTGCGGGACCCAAAACATCGGTTCGCCAGAGGTCTGGGAGTCTGGATCTGACTCCGCTGGCTGTCGCGGCGCTGTTGGGCGGGGGGGGGGAGCCCTCGCCCGCCGCCTCTGGCCAGGACACGAGTCCGTGCACGCCATCGACAGGGTCGTGGAGGTGGCGAAGCAGGTCAGCATGCAGGCCGTGCGTGCGCCTCTGTGCCTGGCCAGGGCCATCCTGGGCCCGTCCATGGTGTGCAGATCTTCCCGGCATCGGCCAGGAGGGCGTGTGTGTACGTCATGCCCGGGTCCCGGGGGGCCCCGGCCAGGCGCGGTGGCGTTGTGTGGATGCCTTCTGCGTGCGAAGATGAGGTTTCTCTGCTTGTGTTGCTGCTGCAGTCGGATCGAGGTATAAAGATCGAGGTCGGTTCTGGGAGGGCACCCTAGTGTTGTTCGTGTTTGTTGGATGTTCCTGTGCATCCTGAAAGGGTACCCCTGGATGTTCTGTTTGTTTTGGCCGACGGTCTCATGTTCTTCAGGGGTGTTCTTCTGGCGTCGGTCCGACTGTACTCCTGTTAGGACTCCAGCCGTTGCTGTGCATCGCGCTCCTGTCGTTGTATTTTTGCTGCCGAGATCGCACTTGTTGCTATGGCTCCTGCTTTGCGGCGCCTCGGGCGAAGAGGAGGTGGAGGAGACGTGTCTTGTCGAACCCCAATGTGTTTATTCGTGGACCCTCGTAAGATCCCCCTCCGTTCCCCCTGTCACCGTCCGGTTCACACCTCTGCGTCTCCCTTCCCTTCTGCCCATCGTTCTTTTAGAAGCCCCGCACGAATGCGCAGAGCCCCCCTGCGTGACACCTCTCTCACCCGTCCACGCTCCACCTCCGCGTCTTTCTCCTTCTCGTCTAGAAACCCACTAGGAAGGCCCGCACAAGCCCAGGGCCCCGTACTCCACTAGTCTCCCCCTCTTGGCCCTATGCCTCCCTTAGAAACACCCACAATAATCCCTTAGAGCCCTCTACGTGAAGCCTTCCTCCCCTCCCCACGCTCGACCTCTGTTCCCCCCCACTGGAAGACCCCACAAGGATCCCAAGAGCCCCCATACGTGAGCCCTCGCTGCCTCCCTCCACGATCCACCTCTAATTGTCCCTCCGCCTTCCTCTTCCTACAGCGCTGTAGGATCCCCCCAAGAAGCCCTCAGAACCCATACGTGACACCTTCCTCCCCCCATCAACTCGCCACCGCTGCTGTTCCCTGTCACTTTCCCAAGAAACCCGCTAAACAAAATCCCCCACCACATTCCACAGAGCCCCCGACGTCAACCCACCCCACACTCCACGCCATCGTTGTCGTCGCCGTCGCTCTCGCCGCACAGCTGCCGAACATCCTGGAGCCATTCAAGCCGCCGGAGCCGGCGGCCGTGGAGGCGAGTGGTTCGTCGTCGTTCGTCGCCGCTTTCGTCTTCGTGGGGTGTCATCGTCGCAGGACTGGGGTGAGGAGGGTGAGAAGGGAAGAGGGAGGAGCGCAGGGGAGGGCCACCTGGTCGGCATCCGCTGCGTGCTCGGCACGGGCCGGGCGCTTGGCCTCAGCCAGCCGGCCGAGCGAGAGGCACCTGCGCGGCGCAGACTGGCGCGGTGCTCGCCCTCAGCGCGGCGCGCGGCCTGCGTGGGGCTCTCGGCTTTCTCGGCCACCAGCTCGTCGGCCGCCCCGCGGACGGCCTCCGCCTGCCACTGCAGTGCCTGCAGCCGCGCGTCGGGCACGGCCCGGCGCGCCGTACGCCGGCGCTGGCCTCCAGCGCTGGCGCTCGGCGCAGCCTGGGCCTTACCCCGCCGAGGCGCCGCGTGCGCCTCCACGCGCGGTTTGGCGGGCGCTCTGCAGGGGGAGCCGCGTCGCTCTCGCCGTCCTCGTGCCGCTCGCCGCGCTCCTGCGTCCACGGCTGGGCCAGGCCGCCGAAGACGGGGCACCGCGGAGATGCGCAGCCAGTGCTGCGCCAGGTGGGGGCTGTGGTCTTGGCGTTTGCATCCCAGGCTGTTGCCTGGGCTGTAACAGTTCACGCTGCAGTCTGGGTAGTCGACACAAGGGGCTCTGAGCCAGCACACGGAGCTATGAACCGGGACAAAATGCCCTTCCTCGAACCCCAGGAATTCGTCGAAGCGCTCCAGCTACCGCCTCTGCCCCGCTGGCCCCAGCGAGCCTTCCCCCTTCAACCTCTGCGGCAGGCGTACGAGGCCGCCAAGAGTTGCGACCCCGCCGCCGAGTTCGAGGCGCAAAACCTCATTTCGGGCACCCGTCTGCGGCCCGCGGACGTGCTCACGGGGGGCGCTGGGGCACGGACTCGCGGCGCTCGCTGTTGGAACCGCCTCTCCCGACGCGTGCAATGCTGGTTTGGAGTGCGTGTCCTGCATGTATGAGCGTCAGCCGGCTCACGCATTACGCCCCCCCCCCACCACAGCGACGTTCTGGACCGCCAGAACATCTTGTACCAGCCATCAATATGGTGAGTCGACGGCCGACCCCACCCCCGGAAGACACTCAGCCCCCGCACGTTCGCCCAGCGGAGGGGATGCTCAGGCGGGGTGTGGCGGCGCCGATGCCTGGCCAGCGCAGCCAGCGTGGAGACGCGGCGGCGGGCGGCCCCCTGTGTCGGGCGTGCTGGCCGAGCAGGGGCGGGGACTGGGGGCGCCAGCTGCCCCCCCCCCGACTCTCCCCGCAGGCGCGGGGGCCTTCCCCCGCCCGCCCCCCACACAAGCACGCGCGGGGGCCTGGCGGCTCACGCCCTGCGGCGGTGCTCACCCCGCTGCCGCTTGCCTGCCTGCCTACTTGCTCGTTGCCCTTCCCCCCGTCCTCCTCGTCTCCCTCTTTTCCATGGGGCCGGAGGCCACGTGTCTGCGGGCGCGGAGTTCAACGGGGTGCCCTGCGACGGCGTTCGCGCCCGTCGCTTTCCTCGTCCCCCTCCTCCTCGAGTTGTCGCGCCCGAGTTCGGGTCCATGCGTTTTGTTTGCCCTCGTGCGTCTGCCACGCAACAAGAACAGCAATTGGCACACATGCGTTTCCTCCCCAGTTCTGTCTTCCCATTTTTCCTTGTCGATTTCATGTCGTGTTATATTGCGTACGTGGCCAACAAGGCCATCGGGAACAGCGCGCGGCGCAACGTGAGACGCACAGCTTAGTACGGCGCCTGGTGGCACAAACGCTGCCGCCGTTCGCCCCCGTCCTGTTCGCTCCTGACCCGGGCCGTGTTTCACGGTTTTAGTGGCAATGCGAGTTGCCTCGGAGTTCTGTTGGTGTTTTCCTCATACGTCGTAGGTTGTAGCGCTGGCAGTGGCAGCCCCAAATGCAGTGACCCACGCTGTGGGCCAGGCTGGGTTCCCCGAGCTGTCGTCCAGGCTGTAGCGCAAATGTTCGTCGCCCAGGTGGTAGCGCACGGACCGGCAGTCCAGCCTGTGGTTCAGGTTGTTGTCCAAACTGTAGTAGCCAAAGCTATGGTCGTCCAGGTTTTCTCCTTCCCTCGTCCTTGTCGTAACGCTGCGCCTGCCAGTCGCAGAACGAGTTGCCTTGCTGCTCCCAGCCGTGTAATGGGTCGCACTGCTGGTTCCAATCATGGTGGGCGTTGTATTGGTCCCAGGCGCGGTGCGAGTCTCACCTGCCCCAGTCATTGTCTCAGCCGCTCTGCTCCAGTTCGTGCTGCTCGTACGGCTTGGAGCCGTAGTCGCTCTTGGGCTTTTGCTTGGAGCCGCAGTGCGAGTCGTCGCCTTGATTGATGCTCCCAGTCTGGTTGCGTACGCGGCTCCCAGTCGTGCCCGTCCCGTTCGCCCTGGTTCCAGTTGTGCGAGTTCCCCGTCGTGCTGTCCCCAGTCCTGCGGTTCGAGTGTCGCACTGCCTCCGGTGTGGGCTCGTTGTGCCACTCCCAATGGTCGCATTGCTCCCATGCAACTCGACACACCACGAGACCTCAGAAGGATCGAGCAGCGGGACATCTTGTGTCGGCGGCGGACAGAGTAGGCTGTGCGCCTCACCGCTTGTTTGGCCAGAAGAAGAGCCGATCCCTGACCCTCGACCTTCGAAAGTGTTTCCAATCCAGCCAAATTCTTCAATCCGTGTCCCGCGAGGCCTTGAGCTTCTCGTAGAGATAGCTGTAGCTGTTGTCGCACGGCCCTGTCTGAGCGCACGGTTGCTGGCCAGCTGTACACGGCGGCTGACAGGGATCGTGCCCCCCCAGCAAGCGCGCGAGGGCGTTCGAGTGATTCCGACAAGCGCGCGGGAGGCCCGCGTGGTCGCATCAGACGAACAGGTTGACACCAACATATGGATTTCGTAAGGCTTTGCAGAACCGCGCGCGCCGACTTTGTGTTTGAAACATTATGTCGCGAAACCAATGTTGTTTGGTTTCATGTGTTTTCGGGGACCTCGATTTGAAATCTGAAGGATGCCAGCATGCGCGCGCGACGGCGCGCGCGTGTGTATTTCGTTCCAATTTTAGCACGGTATGTTTGAGCGTCGATGAGTGTTGATAAACGAGTGCGCGCACATAAAAACATTCGACAGGGATGATGGGGGGAGCGATAAGGGATTTGGCTGGGATGATACGGACTCATCTCTAAGCTGAGCGATGGGGCAATCTTACATGTAAATTGCATGATCCCAGCGGGAACCGAATGTTGGGGGGGAGCTCCTAAACTCTTCTTAGAAAGGATAATCTATGCGAGGCGGCCACGGGGTGCCGTCGGCGGCAACGGAGCCGCCAGAACAGCGTTCAGGCCCAGACGACGGGCGGCGACGAGACGGCGACAGGGTGGCCACTGCGGCAACGGAGCCGCCAGATTGACATCCATGGCCAGTTCCATATTCCAGAAGTAAGAACCCCTGAATGCCAGCATTGTTTAAAGAATGCTTGTACTATATGTTCGTATCGGACGTGCGCCTCCATCATCAGCAGCATACAGTACTAGTACGTCCGCCAGCGTCCCACTTGGGTTCCGTTCTGATACAGTCTCGGCGTCTGAGCCACCTCGGCCCGTTTGGCTGCTGAGTGGGCTCAGACGCCGACCGGGCTCATGAGGGTGTCTGCGGTTTGGTTGGTTCGATTGGGTCGTTCGGCGACGTCGTGGTCGGATGCGATCGGTCGGTTCGGGCCAGTCGGTGAAATCGTGATCTCGTTGCGGCGTATCTGTTCTTCGGTCGGTCTCGGTGCCGCTGCCGGCTCGGTGATCTTTTGTTCGCGCCGCCGCCATGGGGCGCGCGCCACCCCTGGAGGCGGTGGACGTGCTCGACGGGGACAGCCCGCAGGACAACGGCAGCGTGTCGCAGCCCTCGCAGGATGGGGGGCGGGGCCATGCGCGGGGCGCAAGTGCTTCGGGGACAACGATAACCGTCGATCGTTGAAAGTAGGTGTTTTTGGATCCTCTGATTCCAACCTACTTTAGGCGCCTTCCTACCTCATTGATCGAGTGGGATCCCTGTTACTTCATCTTTAGGTGGCGGGCGGAAGCCCAATCTACTTCAACGCCTTCCTACTTCATGCTTCTAACCACTTCTTCCGACCGATTGGTTCATGGCGGAAGTCTGCCCCCGATCGCCCATTCATCGCCGATAGGGGCCCTGTAGCCCGCCCCGCACAGGAACGTGCGGATTCGCAATCAGGTGCTTGCGGCCGATCTATCGGCGATGCATCATCGATTCAATGTCGAGGTTCCCCCCCCCCTGAGCCAGTGCCACAGTCCCAGATTCGGAGGCTGGGAAGTCCCCCAGCGTTTGCGAAGTTTTCTAAGCCTTCCCCGAAGAGATAGGAAGAGACCTCTCAGAAGGCGCGAGGGCTTCTGAGAAGTCCCGCCGCCTTTGCGAAGGCCTTCTCCTTCTCACTCCCCCCCGGGCTCGCCGCCGACACATACCCGGCGCCTCGAGCCAACATCGAGGCGGCTGGTCTGTCACTATTTCTGAGCCTGTGGGGGGGGGCTGGTTTCGGCCAGCTGTGGGCAGGGTGTCGGGGGGGCCGGGGACCCGCGCAGCGAAGCAGCATCGAGGTGACGGACGTCTGGGGAGAGCCCCCTGCCCTTTCCATAATAAGTCCGTCTCGTCTTTCCGAACCGTTTGCGGGCAGGCTCCCAGAAGCTACCGTTCTCCGACCCCTTGGAGCAGTGGCATCAACACGACCGTTTTTTTGTCATTCTCGTTTTCGACCTCCGTGGGCCCAGGAGGGTAGAATGTCTGGCCGGGCCTGCCCGCCCGGCATCTGAGTTTCGCCTGGTCGAGAGAGCGCATGAGGCCGTGATGCGTGGCGCTTCGTGTCCCGAGTCCTGGGGGAGCCGTGGCACGTGACACCTCTCCGCGTCGTGTCGCGGGTGTTCTTCTCGTCTTCCTCGTCGTCCTCCTTCTCTTGGGTCCTTCCTGGGCCTCTTGTGACTCTTGTGGAAGGCGTTCTTGGGTCCCTTGGGCCGCATTGGGCCGTCTTGGGACCTCTTGGACGGTCTTGGGGCCCTCTCAGGCCGTCTTTGGGCCGTCGAGGGGTCCTCTAAGGCCATCGTAGGCCCCTCCGGAGGCCCTCTTGCGCCAGCTTGGGGCTGTCTTGGGGCCGTCCTGGGCCGTCTGGGGTCCCTCTTGGCCTGTCTGGAGGCCGTCTTGGAGCGTTAGTTGGCTTTTTGGGGCCTTCTGCGGCCGTCTTGCGGCCATCTCGGAGGCGTACGTGGCCGTCTGGAGCTGAAGGAGGTCCGAGAAGGTGAAGTTGCCGAAATGTTCAATGAGTTTGGCCTCTTCGAGCCCCACTGGAGGTCCTCTGGTCGCCCGCTTGGGCTGTCTGAGGGCTTGATGGGCCGTCGTAAAGCCGTCTTGGAGGCATCTTGTGCCATCGGGACGGTAGAGGTGGCCTTCCTCTGCCGTTCTGGACGTTCGGGAGCGGGGATCCATACGTTTGTTTGGAGGGATCGTGGCCTCGGCAGCGTGGATCTATAGTTTTTCCGCGAGATCGTGGCCTGGGGGGCAGGGGAAACACGATTCTATTCAACGATGGGACTTCTTGATTTCTCGCAGCTTCTTTTCGAAAGGTTGTCTTGCTGATTCATGTGCTGACGTTTCTGCGTTTGAATCTCAAAGGGTTCCAATTCAATGTTGATCGAAGTCCTCATGCTGGGATCTGCTTCTGAGTTCCCACTCACATCACATCGTCTTATTCCAAAACTGGTGCCTCTCTCAAATAGTATTGTATTCCTGTCACATTTCTATTCAAATCCAATACAGACCCTCTGACTCTGGGACCTGTTCCATCCATGTCGCATCCCTATGATGCCCCCATTTAAATTCAGTTGAAGTCCGCTGAAAGTTGTTGCTGCCTCATTCCGATTGACATCCCAATGGGGACCCGATACAATTTCATTTGAAATCTATTGATTCACATGTCAGTTCCGTTTCTAGTGGTTCTTCTTGAATGATTCATTCCAATATGATGAGCATCCTTTTGAGTCTGGGGTCATGTACATTGAATGTATATTCTATGCGCATTTTGATATAATGAATAAAAAGCATATGTTGATCTTGCCTGCCCCCGTTATATTGAATTATAAGTGGTTTCGTTTTCAATTTCGGTGAACGTTCTTTGAATTATTTGGCATGCGCATGTCCACTTGAATTATAGTTCGAATCCCGTACACAACCAAATGAATGCGTTTGATTATGAGGTCTGACATTCCAAGACCTCATTGGCGTGGCGGTTGTCGTGGCGGTCCTGCTTTTCTTGCCCATCCCCTTCTCTGCCATCCCCTCACCGCCACTACGATCACGGATACGCCTTCCATACATCACACCCTAACATGCCGACGACAATTACGATCACGAGCGTTACCATTACAACTACTACTTTAGTAGTATTACTACTACTACTACTACTACTACTACTACTACTACTACTACTACTACTACAACTACGACCACTACCACTACTACTACTACTACTACTGCTACTACTACTAGTTCCATTACTATTACTACTACTACTACTACTACTACTGCTGCCACTACTACTGCTACTACGACCATCACTATTATTAATACTACTACTTAATCTACTGCCACTATTAAGACTACTACTACTACTACTACTACTACTACTACTACTACCTGCTACTACTACCTGCTACTACTACTACTATTACCACTACTACTACTACTACTACTACTACTACTACTACTACTACTACTACTACTACTACTACTACTACTACTAGTACTACTACTACTACTACTACTACGACGACGACGACTACGACGACTACTACTACTACTACGACTACTACTACTACTACTACTACTACTACTACTACTACTACTAGGGTTACCCTAGAACTGTGCTTCCCCCGTGTATCCGTTGGAAGAGAGGAGGGGAGGGTCGTGGGGATTCTGGGCGGCCGAGCCGCCGCATACGTCAACCATACCACTACCATGAGAACACCATATCACTACCGAAGGAATCCGGACCGTTGCCATACGAAAGCCATACCATCATCATGAGCAAGCCCTACCAGTACACCATTCCCCATATCATAATATAACCATACAGCTACCGTAATAACGCCGTACCACTACCATCAGAACGCCATACCAGTACCAGAAGAAAGCCATATAATTATCATGAGGAGACCATACCACTACCATAAGAAAGCTGTACCAGTACCATAAGACAATCAGACCATTACCACAAGGTAACCGTGCCAATACCATAAGGTAGCCATACCAGCACCATGCGAAAACCACACCATTACCATAACCATCCCACGACCATCAGAAAGCCACATCATTGCCAGAAGAAACCAGACCAATACCATAGGACAGCTTTACCAGTACCAGGCGGAAGCCATATCATTACCATACGGAAACCGTACCATTGCCATCAAGAAACCATACCACTGCCGTAAGGAAGCCATACTATTACCATTATACAGACAACAAACCATTATTGCAAGGAAACCGTAGCATCGCCATAAGAACACCACGCCATTACCACAAGAAAACCATACGTACCATTACCATAGGAGTGCCTGTGCCATCAGAAAAATATCACCATCACCATCAGAAAACCATGCCATTATCAGACGGAAGCCATACCATTCCCATAAGAAAACCATACCACTACCATACGACAACCAAACCAATACCAGAAGAAAACCACACGATGTCCATTGGGCAACCATACCACTACCATAAACAAGCCACACCGCGACCGTAAGGAAGCCATGCCAGCACCGTAAGAACACTACT